AAATATATGATATTTAACAAATCCTTTGTGTAAAAGGAATTGGGAGTTTGGAATAGCCTTTGTTAGGCCAACTTGTAAATGTACTGTAATAACAAATAAATTGATAGTAAATACATTTACATACATACAGTTTTCTAGTACATAGCACACTAGTACAGTAAATGCATACAATTAGCTTTTTCTTTTGCTTTAAATCTTCTTCTAAAGAAGATAAATCATGAGAGAAATTTAATTTCTCCTGAAGTTAGTAGCACAACCTGCCCCCTACCTATTGATATTTTGTTCAATCTTTTAAAATTGTAGATTTAAAAACTCACAAACTGTAAAGAGTCAGGCTTTAAATGAATTGAATATGTTATAATATATTCTGGTGTCACGGTGGCGCAGTGAGTAGTACAATTGCCTCACAGCAAGAAGGTAGCTGGTTCGAACCTCGGCTGGGTCAGTTGGCATTTCTGTGTGGAGTTTGCATGTTCTCCCCGTGTTCGCATAGGTTTTCTCTAGTTGCTCTGGTTTCTCTCACAGGTCCAAAGACATGCGGTACAGGTGAATTGAGTAAGCTAAAATTGTCTGTGGTGGGTGTGTGATTTGGGTGTGTATGGATGTTTCCCAGTGATGGGTTGCGGCTAGAAGGGCATCCGCTGCGTAAAATATATATACTGGATAAGTTGGCAGTTCATTCCGCTGTGGCGAACCCGGATTAATAAAGAGGCTAAGCCGAAAAGAAAATGAATGAATGAATATTATATTCTGAAAGGTATTGTGCGATTCAGCAACTATTATAGGTCATGGTTGTTCTAAATAAAACCTGTAGGGGTCAGTAAAGTGTCACTTAATTGTATATCATGGCATGCTTTTCAAACTGGGATCCAGGGGGCTGAAAAGGAAGCATTGGTTTATGTGGAAATGCTTGGAGAAAAAGCTAAATAAAAAGTAAAATTAAAGAGAAGTCATTTATTTATGAAAAAATATACATTTTCTTGTATTGAGAAAAAAAACACATTACCCTAAAAGAAGCAAATAAATACAAATTGGATTAAAATAAACTGATAGTCAAATATCAATATTAATATAAAATTTAAATTAAGATATATATACATACAGTTGAAGTCAGAATTATTAGCCCCCCCTTGAATTTTTTCTTTTTTAAATATTTCCCAAATGATGTTTGACAGAGCAAGGAAATTTTACAGTATGTCTGATAATATTTTTTCTACTGGGGAAAGTCTTATTTGTTTTCTTATTTCGGCTAGAATAAAAGCAGTTTTTAATTTTTTAAAAACCGTTTCAGGGTTAAAATTATTAGCCCATTTAAGCTATTTTTTTTCTATAGTCTACAGAACAAACCCTTGTTATAAAGTAAATTGCCTAATTGCCCTGACCTGCCTACTTATGCTAATTAACCTAGTTAAGCCTTTACTTGTCACTTTAAGCTGTCTTGAAAAATATTTAATCAAATATTATTTACTGTCATCATGGTAAAGATAAAATAAATCAGTTATTAGAAATGAGTTATTAAAACTATTATGTTTTTTTGAATTGTGTTGAAAATCATCTGTATACGTTAAACAGAAATTGGGGAAAAAAATAAACAAGGGGGCTAATAATTCAGGCCAGCTAATAATTCTGACTTCAAATGTGTGTATGCATTTAATATGGGGATCCCTTGTAGGTCTGTGCACTCTCAGAAAAAAATTACATGGTGGCTCCTTAAGTAACAGTTTTGTACCTTTGTAAAAGTTGTACCTTATATGGTACAGAAAATACCTTTTATGATACTGTTCTGTACCTTTTATGGTACAATTGAAATGAAGTTACACAATTTTTCTTTTAAAAAGACATAAGTGTTGGACAACTTCTTTATTACAATATCTATGAAAATAAATATGACTGGAAGGGCAAAGTGATTTCATGAATAATTTCCATATAAAAACATTAATCATCATTTAAAAGCATATGTTTAAAGAATTTCAAAAACATTAATTAATAAGTTCAATAATACAAAACAACAGGTAAACATTTAAGGCATTTTTAATAAACATTTGGTAAGTATTTTCTGATAAATACATTGTCATTATTAATATCCACACCTTATGGCGTTTTCTTTCCACTACGTACATGATATTGCATATGCAGGACGCTGGCAAAAGTCCTGCATAAGCAAAGTGTTCATGCAGACATTTTAATATTGTAAAACTGATCAAACATTGTGCATATCTTGTTAAAATACTTTTGCATAAGTCTATTTTAAAATTAAGTAAATTATTAAATGCACTTTTAAGTGATTACAAAGGTATTGTGTGAAAATTAGAGAAAAATGTGTTATATTGTACATGAGATAATGTGTTTCTGCTACTTTTTGTTGTGTTGTGAAATGTTTAGTAAAAAATAGATATTTTGATTTATGTTAAAGTATTTTTATTAATTGTTTTTTAATCGATATTTGATGTTTTGTATTTACAAACATTTTTTTTCCACATTTTGGATAAATCAAAATGCCTTTAAATAGTTCTTGAAGGAACACATTTGACACTGTTAAATAGTTCTTAAAGGAACACATTTGACACTGTTAAGGTGTCTTGTAACTGTAGTGGTACGTTCATGGATCAGATTTGTACCTTTGATGAAGGTAAAATATTGTATCTGGAAGGCACATTTTGGTTTTCCATTGTACAAATCATGTCCTTAAATGTACAAGCTGCAATGGTACAATTTTGTTTCTTTGTTTCAAGGTACAATTCTGTTCCATAAAAAGATACTGCCCCAGTGACAAGGGTTTGTACCTTCTTTGGTACAACATTGTACCATTTTTCTGAGAGTGTGGAATCTTAAAGGTTGACATTGTTTAAGTTAATACTGTATTTTTCTAAGCAGATAATTTCTAAGCGTAATATTCTTTTAAATACGGTCACATGAAGCTGGACATGGGGCAAAAAAAAAAAAGAAAAATACAGATACTTTTATTAGAAAAATCGTCCTTTATTTGTATTTTCAACACACTTTACAGTACTGAACAGTGAAAGAAAAAATATACTGGTATATATTTATATATTTGTTTTTTTTATATATAGCTGTTTGCTTATTAAATGCATTTTATTCACAAAATGACAACTCAGTTCTCTCAGAGGAAAACCTTTCATAAAAATAATATAATATAAAATAACTTGGACACATTATACACATTACAGCAATATAACGTACAAATATTACAATCATTTTCCTGTGTTTTCTTTTTCGTTTTATATTATTACCATAACTTGTGAACAAGTAACATATTATTTAAAGCCCAGAGAATAATTTCATTGGAGAGTCTCATGAGGCATGACTTCAAAGTACAAAGTAAAACTGTTCTCTGATTAAGCCACGTCATCTTTCATTATGGTCATTAACCTCACAGAAGTATTTAAAACCCCTATTAAAAGCCATTACAGTGCAGATTATTGACACAGAGTAGCTGATGTTGCTCAGTGCTTTTGCAGACAATGGCATTGAGGACCAAAAAACGAGGTTTGGACCGAGCCATTTAAAGTGCTAACCCTGTGCCATGCTATACACCCCTCTCTCTATACATATACCATTCCCCCTGATATCAGCCATCTCGCAAACAAAGTCCTACAGAAAAAATTAAAGTGCTGGTAAAGACAAGTTTCCGAAATAACTGATGATTAGTCTCTTTTCCAATAGAATTCAAAAGTCACACTTAAAACTGCTGGAGGTTGCCTAAAATCCCTCCAAAAGAATGGCAAGGGAATGACAGCAGAAAGAAAGGGGGTGCTTATGAAAATCCACAATTCAACTACAGTTCATTACAACTAAAAGTGATTCATTGTGACAGTGACTGATTCTGAGAGATCTCAAATTTACAATTCAACATTACAGTATATACAAAACAAGCAGTGATTCGTCTACTATTTATATCAGATAGCAGTTCTTTTTGATTTTCAAACCATCAAACCAGAATGATACAAAAATAAAAACTGTACACAGACTGTTCAAAGAAAACACTTGTTTCTCCTTTTTGATATCCAAAAAGAATGGCAGCAAGGAATTAACTTGAATAAGTTCTTAATAAGAAACAATTGCTACAGTGTCGTGTTAAAATGGCAAATATTATTTGTTAGCGTAGTGCTCACAACATTAACCAAAAGCCACACAACAAAGCAATTTAAGGTAAGACAAATGTATATGGGAATGTCATCAGTTTGCACAAACCTCTTCGTGTGACCCTTATCGGTGGTCCGCCAAATAAAAACGTTTACCTCTAATTCTGTCACAGACAAGTACAGCTATCACACATAACCTCAGGTTACTGCTCTGACAGGCACAGGCTTGTGTAAAGCTAAGCTACTGACCAGCAGAAACTAGCTTGTCATAATATTTTCCAGAGTAATGCTTACAAACGCTGCCACGCAATATATATATATATATATATATATATATATATATATATATATATATATATATATATATATATATATATATATATATATATATATATATATATATATATATATATACATACATACACACACACACACACACACACACACATACGCGCAGTTGAAGTCAGAATTATTAGCCCCCTGTTTATTTTTTCCCAATTAATGTTTAACTAACACATTTATAAACATAATAATTTTAATAACTAATTTCTAATAACTGATTTATTTTATCTTTGCCATGATGACAGAAAATAATATTTTACTAGATATACTAGATCAAGACACTTCTGTACAGCTTAAAGTTACATTTAAAGGCTTAACTTTGTTAATTAGGTTAACTAGGCAGGTTAGGGTAATTAGGCAAGTTATTGTATATCCATGGTTTGTTTTGTAGACTATCGAAAAATATATAGCTTAAAGGGGCCAATAATTTTGACCTTAAAATGGTGTTAAAAATTAAAAGCTCCTTTTATTCTAGCCAAAATAAAACAAATATGAAAAAATATTAACAGACATACTGTGAAAATGTCCTTGTTCTGGTAAACATAATTTGGGAGATATTTAAAAAAGAAAAAAAATCAAAGAGGGGCTAATAATTTTGAGTTAAACTGTAAATTCTGACTTCAACTGTATCAACAATTTGTTTATTCAACTGAACTGAAGCCACCCAAACTGAACGATTCTGAGAGATGAGAGAGAGGCAATATTGCAAATCTAACATCAACCTGAGAACTCACTCTCGTTTTCTTACTTTCTCTCACTTTCCTATGTTCTGTTTCTCTCTTTCTCCCTTTGAAAATTGGTAGAACAGACATCACAAAAAGATGCCAGACACTTAACACATTACAGCAATGGTATGACCTTCTTTTCTCTGTCTTCACTTTGTTATGGTAGCATTGCCATGCAGGAAAACTACCCTACACCTGCAGGTGAAGCTATTTTGTATCGACAGACATTTATTAGCAAGGCATATAGACACGAAACGAATGGTCTGGGATATAATGCCAACAACATCTTATTGTTTCACAATGTGCTAGGTAGAAACCCTGCAGTTGACATTAAGGCAAAAAGCATGAAACTCAATATGGCTGCGCGTAACTACCAACAAATATGCCTTGTTCTTCAGTTTAGCCTTTTGGAGAGGCTTCTCCAACTTATTAGCAAAGCACTCATTCCTTTGGCAAAACAAAATGTAGCGTCTTGTAGAAAGAGAATGTACTACCCGCGTGAGTGGGTGAAGGTGAGAATGTGTGCGAATGTGTGCTGCAATTGAGGAGATCAATTTGGCAGGAATGGATATGACAAAATCAAACAAAAAGAAGGCAAAACATATGTTTTCAACACATCCCATGGCTTATCCTCTGAAAGTGACTATTATTAATTATTCACATGGAAAACCGTGAGCAGTGACCAATTGATCAATTCTAATCTAAGCCCTAAATGATCGGTTGGCTTGAAAGTGATCAAGGAAGACTGACGAATGAGAGCAGGAATCATCACAAGACAACGTGAACGCTCCATACCGGCACAAACCATATTCAATGGAGATAGATTGCTTAAAAAGAGAAAGAGACAATCAAAAATGAAGACAAAAGCAGACACTCCTGTCCCACGATGCATTGCTTCACAACAGCTCCAGAGGTGGAGCTGGTGGTTCAGAAAGGCACACGGCCATCTTGCACTGGTAGCACTCCTGGGTAAAGGGTAAGAGGGGGTGGGACCCACAAGCAAATCAATTCCCTTGTCTCTCTGCAGTCTTTTTGAACAGCAGATGTTACTCCCAGCAGATGAAACTTTAGGTCAGAATTGCACAAGAAGTCTCTCAGATTTCCCTCGGCACGTAAAGTCCCTGTTAGAATGCTTTAAAAACGGATTATTGACACTGATGCTCCTTTTTTGATGGCTTTTTCCAAAGATATTCCTTTCAGATCCAAGCCCCCTGAACACATACACAGACACACAGCCGTGTGTTTGCATGTATCGCATGATATTGTTATTTTAGGATAAAATCACATACGTCTGTGAATGTGTGTATGTGTGGAAAATCCAGAGTGCTACACTGACGTAATGGCCCTTTACAAACCCCACCGTAATTCAGTTTCTCTATCAAACCTCACCTTTCCTGCAGCCGGATGGACTCCAGCTCGCACTCAAAATCTACAGTTGCTGTGTTAAATACTTCTCTGATATCAATATTATTTTGTTCCCTTTTTGAAAAATAAAATTAAATGTCTTATTGGATTGGTACACAAGACTTATTCTGTTCATGGTCTAGCTATCAGAAACAGAAAAGAGTCCTATGTGAACGTCAGAGTGTAGGGACAGAATATTTAGAAGGATCGCCCTTAGTTAGCCCCCTGGGCCAAACAGCTGTTCCTTGAGTCTTCAGTATTACGTATCATCAGTTGGTGAGGACGACTTTTCCTCCTCCTCCGTCTCCTCTACGGGGCTCTCATCCGACTGTCTCTCGTCTTCCTCCTCAACTACTGACTGAACCTGCAGTCGTCTTCGTCCTGACCTCTCAACCATTACCTCTGTCACCTCCTCCCCGTCCTCCATTTTCTCTTCTGCCTCGTCCTCCTCAGCTTCCTCTGCCTCTTCATCGTCTTTCTTTTCATCCTGATCATGGATGACTATGTGGTTATGACTGGGAGGACCGTCCTGTACTGTCTCTCCCTCCAAGGTGAGCTCAAACTGAAATTTGTTCCTGCAGGACTCAAGCTCATTATCTGGTCTGTCAGGTGGTGGTGACGGGCTCTGAGGAATGGTGCTTTGGTACCAGTCCCGGTTGTCTTCAAGGGTGTCCAAAATTTCCTGAGCATCAGGGTGGACCAGGTCCCCCCAGGTCTCCCACAGGGGATGCACAATATAATCGATAAATCCCACCTGAATGATGGAACACACCATATAAAGAGGCCTTTTAGGAGCAGCTCATGTCAGAAAAGGTTTATAATTTATGTTTGTGTGGGTGTATATATGTGTACCTGACTCTTTTCCACGGACGCAGTGTGTTTGTCACACATGGGGCTGATTTCCATCCCACGCTCTCGCTCTTTATCACCCTGCTGGAAGAACTCCTCCATAATGCGCTCAGTCCATTGCCTGTACACTGCTAGGGGCTTGGTTGGGTTACTAAGGTCAGCACAGTGCACCATGTTCCTCAGGACCTATGTACACATACACACTTGTGAGTAAGTAGTTTCTCTTTTTTTGGTCTGCATCTACAGACCCTGTCGTTGGTAAAGGATTGAATGATTTTTTGTGCATTATCACCTGTATTCGGTCATTATAATGGTCCAGCATCAACACTCCAGAACTGGTCACTTTCTTGGTCTCCACCATTGTCTTAAGATCTGCAAGCAAGCTCATATGCTTTGACATATCTGTTGCCAGAACCTAAGAAGACAAGCAGGACAATTTACACAGGAAATAAAAGTACAGCTGCTCAGAAATAAAATAAAAAGCCATGGTAGGTTAAATGTTGTGCAATGAAGGCCTAACCATGTCAATGACCAGCTTGCGCAGACTCTGCCGTTGGCGTTTGGTGAGGTTCTGAAAGATGTCACAGTTCTCCTCATGCAGAAGCTTGAAGCCTACAGCCAGGTGGTGGTTCTCCAGTACAGATTCATCGTTGTACATTAATGCCAGTTCTGAATCTATGAAACAGAGCAAACTATCAGTGGAGTTTTTGGCTCAACAACAAGGATGACATTAAGGTTGAACTTATATGGTTGCTCATCCTTACATCCATTTTTATGCCCTGCAAATTGAAGCGTCAGATAATGTGAAATAATAATAAACTAGAAAAAAAAGACGGATGGCACATAACCACACTTTAAATGCCCCAGCCTGGTCGCTGTCATCTTTTGAATTTGGAACCAATGGTACCCCTTTTTACAATCAAATATATATATATATATATATATATATATATATATATATATATATATATATATATATATATATATATATAAGATAGAGAAGTTCCAAACATGCATCAGCACAATGAGAGCTACCCAGACATTCCAATTTGTTAAAAGTAATTTCTGGGTGGAATGTTGATGATTCGCGGGAGGTTGCAGGAGTTGGCCAGGGGTGCAACGTATCTGAAGAGCAGGGAAGGATGCATTGGAGAGGGGTGCACAAAGTATTTGAGGACTGGGGGAGAGACAATCGATTTCCGGTAGATTGTTATTCGTTTGCGGGCTTTCAAGAGTCTTTATGCATATGCAGGAGACTCTCGGAACTTCAGGGAGACTTGGGATGTCTGACTATCTGACATTCTAACATTTTTGGTCTCATTTCTTTACATAGAAAGTGGAGGCTTTTTGACCTTTTTTGCATCCTGCGGTCCATTTTTTGTATGTGGATTACTCAGTTAGCTGGATTTGGTGGTGACGATTTGACACGATCCAGGATGGTCTCGTTCTTCAAAACTCTTCTGAGAGTTGTTGTCATAACAATAGTTCTGGTAGCTCAAACCCGCTTGGTGGCAGGCCTATTTCATATGAACATGATTGGATTGGGTCTTTTCAAGCAAATGTAATACTAAAGTGTACCAAATGCTGATATTTTCTTACAGTAGTAGTTAAATATAGTTTAAGTTTAAAGATATATATATATATATATATATATATATATATATATATATATATATATATATATATATATATGGACTTTTAAGATACAAACGCATACTCTTTTAAGTTACCGACCTAGCTTTAGTACAATTGACAACATGATAATAGACATGCACAATTTGCACAAACGACTTTTTTTTTTTTTTTTGGTAACGATTATACAGTTATTGTTTTGACAGCTAGTATGCTGGTGATTTGATCATTCATAAAAGGCGAATCAAATGATTTAGCATCAGAAGTGTGAGGTATTTCCATTGTACAGTCAAAACGATCAGCTTCTCCTTTATTTTAACAATTACATTTTACCATTTTTTCTTTTCTTGTTCACAATCACAGATATTTTAGTGACAGTTACGGAACTTGTCTTAGTTTATTATGTCTGAGAGATTAGCCTACTGCAAATTTACTACTCATCTATATTGATACTGTATTCTAACAGCAATACATTTAGTAAAACTGACATGCATACATAAAGTGTAGTGCAAATATAAATACCCCTTCATTAATCAGAGGCTCTTTAATAAACTGAAACGGTAGAACGTGATTAAGTTAGTAATATGCAAATTGACGCATGACGTAATCTAGTGACATTTAGCGACTTTTTGGCCAGTGCTTAGCGCCTTTTTATTGAAAAAAAGTTGGCAGCACTGTTTCGAGGATCGATAGATCTGTCCTTCACAACACACACAGTGATCTCAGATGAGTTCATTCAGACATTTTAATCTGATTCGTGAACTTGTTTTAAGAATCAAATTAGCCAGAGATCAGTTATCAAGATTAAAAGGATCTGCCAAATCATCTTAGATCATTTAAGCGAGGTACGAAGAACGAACCCCTGGCTCTAGGGTTGCTAACTATCATTTTTTCCCCCTCAATATTTAGACACAGCCTTAGATCGAGGATATTTTCACACATTGTCAAAAGCAAGTATTGTTGTCTGTTACCATAGCAACTGCTCGTGTGTCTGTTGAATGCACATCTGATGTGAAAAAAGTACATAAGGTGCTCATGCATTTGAGACGTGGAAAGATCGCAAGAACATTGTCAAAATACGTTGCTTCAGGCTTCTTTATTTGATAGATACTGAGATCTCAGTATAGTCAGACTTGATGCCAAACAATGGGCAATGTAAGCACTATGTACTGGTAACAGCACAATATGTACAATTCTTTCATTAAATTTTCCAAAAACCACTAGAACAGGATTATATATTTTGCTAACTTCTGTATTTACATATTCTTTTAAACATTTGAGATAATGTAAATACATAAGCCAGCAAAATATAGAATTTAATAATTTATTTATGGACTTTACCAGTTCATAGTGCTTTATATCACACGTTATTTGTTACCTCAGCCAACAGGACCAGAAGAATATAAAGACAAAACTAAATAACTTTGTGTAAAAACAATCAGGTGCCTAAACAAGCATGGATAGCTCCTCACAAGACGATTGAGACAAGACTAATTAAATAAAACAAGCAGATCAATCACCAAGATGCAAAAGCCGCTAAATGCCATTTCTGGCAAAAAAATGAAATAATGACATAGACTGAATGCTTTAGGCACGTGTACATGTTCAACAAATACTTTTGTTTGAAATCATCTACATCGCAGCATCAGCACATTCATAAACAACAGTTTGTTGGCAAATTGCCGCTATCTCCCGAGAACAAATCAGAAGGTGCGAATCTAATCACGTTTTCAATGTAGCAGTGTGCTGATATGTCGGCTTTTATGAGGAGACTGTTTTATTCCATTTCCGATTTTATTTTAATAGATGACGTTTCATGAACTGGATGAACCTGTCCGACTGTCAGTAAATGGCAAATGAAAATGTCCCCTACCTCAAAACTCTCTGCATTATAAGAAAAAGAAAACAAAATGCACAGTCATAAGTGTAACATCCATTCATATTGTTTTTTGCACAGCGGCGCTACTTTGAATGAGCCCGGTTTTCTATAGCCACAATAAACAACAACTCCATTTCACGAAAGACGAAGTTAAAGGTGCAGTAGGTGATTGTCTTCAGAAACATTTTGTTGTGCTGGTTGAAAGTCTCTTCACAGTCCAAAAGTAATGATTAAAGTAAATGATGTAAATTTGTTTATATGTATTTTTATATTTTGGGTAAGGCATAAAACTAAAAAAATGTTCATCCAATTAAATATTGTCAGGCTGACATCTCCCATAATTTCGATAATTAGCTGAAACTGTCTGTCAGCAAATGCAGATTCAGACTTCTGCGCATCTGTTCTCGCAGATTCACCATTCCCGCCTGCCCGCCTGCAGATTGTGTTGTGTTATGAATGGCTTATATGCACAGACGTGTTGTTCAGCCACTGAAATCTCCCGTTGAAAGATTGATGTGACTATTTTCAGTTTCATAAGGTCCTTTTACAGCATCGATAATGTAGATTTATATTTAGTTTAACAACAAAACATGAGTAAATAGTGCTATTCCGCCTAACCTGCTTTATTGAGCTAAAGTTGCTTTTATATTCACATTGGTTCATTTTTAAACAATGGCAGCCTCCTATACTGTTTACCATGCTACTCTGAATATTCACTCTGAAATAGCATGCAAGTATGACTTAGTAATAAATGTAATTCCTGCACGCCGCCGTGCCAACACTATCTAAACTGGCGAATGACATGAACTAGTGGGTTGTCTGCTGTTGTGACGCGGTGTGCACATTCTAGATTTCAGGAGGCGTGGCTTTGAATCACAGTCCCTCCCTGCCGTCCAAAGATAATAAGCGGTTAGCATTTTGGCAGATCACCTACTGCACTTTTAAGATGCCGTTCTTTTATCCCGCATGGATGCAATGATGATAAAAAAGAGACAAAAAAGTGACCAAGATCTTGAGTATAGTGAGGATAAATAAGTGACAGCTTCTGAGAGACAACCACTTTTTTGCCCAGTAAGCCTACCTTTTTATTTGCTAATGCAAGCTATGTTTTAAAAGACAAATACAATGTAAAAAACTATGCATTATTTATATTACTTCAATAATAAAACATTTTTTTAGGAATGGACAATGCACAGATATTGATGTTTCACAGTGTTTTTACATTACATTATTTGAATCTAACAAGCTTGTTTGCATTGCTCTACTTACATTACAATCAAATCCCAAATATCAGAAATGGCAACAGATTGTTAAGATTTAATTAATGTCAATTTTAATGTCATTGATTAATGCACTTGACAGATTTCATTCATTCATTTTCCTTCTGCTTAGTCCCTGGTTTATCAGGGGTTACCACAGTGGAATGAACCGCCACTTACTTGACAGAAGTTTTTATTTTCAGTTGGTTTGTGTAATGTGTTTTATGTTTGGTAAAATAATCTCCAATTGCATCTTTAGTGATTTTCAACTAAGTGCACTGTCTTGTCCCAATAGGTGGATTTAGAGGGTTTTACATAAAACGCAGAGGTGGATTTAGCTGGTTTTGACGCAAAAGAAAATTTACCTTGTTAAAAACCAAAGAATTGTCTAAAGTGACATTTTTGGAAAAAAAAGGTATTTTATTTACTAGCTAATAACTTTATCATTAAATATAAAATGAAACTTCTAAACCTAATCAGAGGAGCCTGATAGAAAATGCTCATTTACAAGAAAAGAGGTCTGATGGATTTAGAGGGTTTAACATCTGAACTTATATTATATAATATACTATATACTATACTATAATTCATATATACAGCAGTCTCTAAAATGAGATGCAAGTTCAAAGTTATAAAAATCTGCAATCCACATCAGGGGCCTTGTGTTGAAATCATACTGAAACATTGCGTAAGCACAAAGCTGTAAATGTGTGTCCGCAGTAAAAAATTCAGATGTATGGAATACTGCGTGTGCTGAATCACATGCATATTCTCTTTGTAAATCTGAATGAACGTGAAACTGAGTGCACGTGAACGAGCACAAAACCCCTCCCTGCCTCCTCCCCCGTATGAATATGCTAATGACTCTAATTTGGCAAAACCAAATAAAGAAGCAATGGCAAAAGCAAGCAAGAAGAGAAACTTTGAATAGAATGTGAATTGGAGGTGCGCCTATCGTAGGTAGACTGGAGAAAAACTGTTATTTGCAAGTGTTCCTCCGGAATTAATAACAAAAGAAAAAAAAAAATAGAGTGGGAGAGCTGATGCTGGGAGTGGGGTCTCGATGGACACCTTGTTGGAATGAGGTAATTAAGTGAACTTAAAACGCATGGCAATATGTTTTGACACTATCATTCATGAACCGGGTTTGAATCCAGCGTCGGATTAACTTATTTTTCTTTTTTTCCCATTACATATCAGATTTTGCCTACTCTTCATCACGAGCAAGACAAGTAGGTATCATTAACAAGTGTGTGTATTACGTTAAGCGGATTTGAGCATCACACATTATTTGCACTTGTATTCAATGGATATGTTTCCGATTCTTGTGGCCTATGTAAATTCATCTTCTTATGGCGTCTTTATAGCAATGTGCGTGCAGTTATCGCTCCGATTAGATTGGGAAAACTGGCGATCACTGCAAGTTGCGCTTTAATGTTTGCCTGGTCAACTGTATGGTATGGAAACCTTGATGATCCCGTCTCATACAGCTGCCATTGCACGACTCAAAGATACTTTGTAGTGTGCAATTTAACATGATTGCCTCTAGGAGTCGCCAATGAAATTAAAACAGACACACACAAAAAATGCACATACGCCAGCAGTAAATCCAAACTTGAGCGTGAAATCTGGCATACACAAAGTGTTTGAGATTGATATTTTGAGTCACAGTTCTAGCATTCAATTTTAAACTATATACATATTTTAAACTATGGCATGTTAGGACATGCTGTAAGCTCCAAAGTTAGACATTTTTGCTCACGTTGGTGTCGTCAATCAATAGAGTCATCGGATGAGGCACCGGGTAAAAAAGTGTTTTGAATTTGGGCTGCAATACCTAGTTCAACCAGTGAGGGTAAATCTTACATATTGCTCCTTTAATTTCAAATCATAACATAACATGATGCTGGTCTCCCTTAGTTAATACCAACAAATCAGAGAGTAAACATAGCTAAACAAACTGAAAAAGAGCCTATACACTCACAGGTGACTTATCCAGCAGGTTCAAAAGAACCAAGACTGGTGAAGGCTAATGTAATACATCATCTTCACTTATCTTAGATGTTATTATAGGATGACGGTATCTAAAAATGTGCTGCAGATTGCTAGCAAAATCAACATTAAGACATTTAAATGTTGAGGAGCAAACTCATTGGGCGCAAGAGCAACAAATCGCCTGCACCATGAGTTGATGATGTGGTTAGAATAGCATTAGATTGGAATAAGAAATTGATTATAAAATCAGATGGATAAACAGAGAAGTCATTAATATAATTCAAGATTTTTTTAACTAATTATTTGGATCCATTTTTAGCCATTATTTTAATGATTATAAAGATTTATAACCATTCAAGGTTTTTTTTTAATCAACTTTGATGCATCACTTGCTTTTGTTTATATCTTGGCTACTTATACCTATTAAAGTTTGTTAAAACATTAATGCATTAATGACAACAGAACATGGGTTGCTTTACAAATATATATATATATATATATATATATATATATATATATATATATATATATATATATATATATATATATACATATATATATATATTTTATTTTTTTATGGTAAGAATAAGAGAAAAAAAAAAGCACACTTACAAAAAAAACTGACTTTTTTATATTTAGCCCACTCCACAATTTACAATAATGGTCCAACATTCCTGACCATTATCACCAATAAAGCCTAGAAAAACCAGGCATCAGTATTTGTAAACCGATAGGTTCAAATATTCTTTTCCAGATTTCAAAGAAATAATTTGTTAATTCATTTAAGTTTTGTAACTATTAAATTGTTTTAAATTCCTAATTGTAATACATCAGTGTAAAACCTATGAATGGTAAAAAAAACATATTTTGTGATTGTGTATTAAAACTGGGGAGGGTCTTCACTTTTGCCATGGCCTCTCTTTTTGGCTTATCCCTCTTTTTTTTACAAAAACTTGCAATTTCTAGGCAAGAGTTAATGGCCATCTGGTTATCCCTATGATCACGAATGAATGGATCATAATGATGTCTATACAGGTGTACCAAAATCTCCTTAAAGGGATTCATATTCCACTCAAATGAAACGCAGTGCCATGCAAACTCGAGTCTAAAAAAAAATTGTGCACTCCAACAGTAAAAAGCATGTCACAAGCACCCAAAGCAAACCACCGCGATGACGTCACTTTTGGCGCACACACTCAAGTGAACTAGTTGACATTATTATCATGTTTTAACATAACATTTATATATTTGTCAAATGGTTAGATTCACCATCACTATTATTTTTGCAATGTAGACTTACTGGTGTTGATTAGGAACTGGTTGGAAACTCCAGGGTGGTCTACATCATGAATGGCAGCAGCGAACAATGCAGCCAGGATTTCAAGATCGCTAAAAACAGCCTGGTGGGAAGATGCAGCAGTCTTTAGTGCTCTGAAATATGATTTACTTTAAGGGCTACATTTTAACATTATACTTACGTCCAGTGCTGGCGTGGAAAGCAGCACATGTGTTGACTGTGTGACATCAGCGGCATGTAGGCTGTTGTGATAGGCCACATTGGCATGGTAGTGGTCTTCCAGTGTCATCACATAGGTGATAAACGTGTCCACTGGGATCCGAAATGTCTTCAGTAGGTCCCTTTCCTTTAATGTGTTACAGAGTGTAAACAGGGCATAGAGAATGGAAATTAAACAAAATTACTCGAGTCTATAAATGAGGAAGTCTCCTATTACCTCTAGCGTACCCTAAAGCTTAATGCGTTCAGAATACTAGCCGGAACTTGAACCAGCAACCTTCTTGCTGTGAGGCCACAATGCTAACCACTCAGCCACTGGGCTGCTTTTAAAGAAATCTGCTTGCTAATGCCTTAAAAGCTCAGTTTAGGTTTTTATCCACAATGTGTGTTTTTTCATTGCATCACATTGTAAACAGTCTGCAGACTCACATTCAGAATACAGCAGGAATTCTACTGATTAACTATCGGTAATCAGTCAGCCAAATGCAGTGGCATGTGCAGGATGAGACTCGCAAACATCCACTGAAATAGGCATGGTAAAGACCGTGATTTGGGGACTTTAGAAATCTACACTGGGATCGTTGTGAATGGAGATAACTGGAGATTGTTTTACCCAAAAAGTAGCAAGCATACAAACAAAGAAACAAACAATATCTTTGCATCTAATACCAAATACACAGCACAACACATAACATGTAGAGCAAAAACCAGAGACTACACACCTGGAAGATAGCAAACATGATGCAACTTAGAGGTCTGTTATTGGAGAACTCAGCCACATGGAAGATATTAAGGCCCCACTTGTTCAAGTCATTTAGCTCCTGTTAAAAGCAAATTCAAACATCTCAAATCCATTTGATAAACTGACTTTTTAAGGGTTCATGAGCTGCACCTTTTAATTTGAATTTTCTTAGAGCCACTTATATTATTCACAACATCCTTACAGTAACATAGTTATATGTTAGAAGTATTGGCATTTTTCTTTTAAGACTCTCTGATTTGGTAACATTTTTGCATATTAAAATTATTCTATACGGAATGTTAGGGTTGCACGATATTGGGAAAATCTAACATTGCAATATTTTTTTTTTATTTTGCGATTATATATTGCAATATTAATACAATTTCACCAGATGACTTAATATCTCTATTTGGAAGGAATGTATAATGTTAGATCAATTGGGATGATTCTGCAGTTGGAGTGCATCTCCATAAAATCTAATAAACAGTATATACAAATTTTGGAGTACCCCAACACATTTTTGTTTTTTTCAGTGCTTCTTGCAGTGCATATCTGTATTTGCATGTGTTGTTAGTATTTTCATGCACTTGTTTAGTCAGAGATTGATGAATTAATGTTTACTATTTGCATCTCCATAAATCTAATAAACAATCTATAAACTTTTTGGGGTCCCCTGACACATTTTCACTGTGGTGTGTGCTATTTGCTGTGCATTTCAGTATTTGCATGTGTTGTGAGTATTTCCATGCATAACAACCTTTAAATACAATCAAGAAAAAGATACAATTGAAATAAAGTATTTTATCATGTCCCGAGTCTAACAGTATTCAAGTACAGCAACTGAATGATATAAATAAAATTAACTCAATAAAATTAACCATAGTTTGGGTCACAAATGGTACAATTTCTTATACCTGAATGATTTTAAAATCATTATACGATCACAGGCATCAAAGACACATGCAAATGATAAATGATAATACAAACTCCAAATGATCACATTGTAATAACGATGCTGAAACGATATATTGTGCAGCCCTACTGCATGTCGACACAGCAAATTCCATCTTTCTCATGTCTACTCATACTGTATTTGCAATACAGTGGGCATCGCTAAATTGGCTGTGATTTGAAAGCAGGAATTAATATTCAGCAGAGGCAAGATTTCACTGCATGACAAATTCTGAAATGAGGCATTTTGCAACTTTGTTTTCACTAAAGGCTGTTTTTAGATAAAAAAAAAAAAGCTTTTGGTAGGGCTGGCCGATTAATTGAAAAGTAATTGAAATCGGCATTCAGAACACATAATTGATCAAAATTTTCCAGGTCGATTTTGGTAGAACTGGGCGATTAATCGAAAAGTAATTGCAATCGACATTCAGAACCTAAAATCAATCAATTTTTTCCTGGTCAATTTAGGTAGAAGTGGGTGATTTAATCAAAAAATAATCAAAATAGGCATTCAGAACCTATAATCGATGACATTTTTCCACGTAAATTTTTGTAAAACTGGTCGATTAATAGAAAAGTAATTGGAATTAACATTCAGAACCAATAATCAATCTTATCTTTACAGGTGAATTTTGGTAGAACTGGTCGATTAATAGAAAAGTAATTGGAATTAACATTCAGAACCAATAATCAATCTTATCTTTCCAGGTGAATTTTGGTAGAACTGGTCGATTAATCAAAAAGTAATCAAAATCAACATTCAGAACCTATAATGATTGTAGATCATGTGATCATATTTTTCCATTTTTTATTCCATGCGCACCTAGTTGAAACGTTTAAAATGCCACACTACGAATCACGTACACAAGAACTAAGCGATCAGCTTCTTACTTTATATAGAATATACACATTTCGGTAGACTAATTAGCTCAAATGAACAAAGAACATTCGAACACCCAGTGCTTTTTAATTTTCTCCATAAATAAAACTTGAATCAGAACTGCAGCAACGTTTTGTTACTTTGCCAACAGTTCATGGGCGTCGAGCAACGGCAAGCACAAATCGATTTAAAAGTTGAAGGATGCAATGCACCTCGTGCTTTCCACATGCTTTTAAATGTGTTATGTGACTGACAGGTCTTACAAATTACCTGATTTAGCAATACAACAGACTTCCTCTATCCAAAGTAATCAAACATCATTGATGTTTACTTTTTTGGGAACCAAATCCTCCTGTGCTGAACTCATCTTCCCTGTTTATGCAGGCTATTTGTCATGAGCTCAGTCTCCAGCTCTCCTCTCTGTTTAGGCATGCTGCATTTTGATTGGTTCAAATAGCATATCATGGTAAAATCGTGCTGTAAGGCGATTTATAAATCACGCATGTTCAAATCATGATTTTGATAAAACGTCAATTAATCGCACAGCCCTAATTTACAGTATAAGACTTGTCAGTGAACTATGAGAGCTAAAAATTAAATAAACAAATAAAATAATCATTCATTATTCATAATCGAGTCAAAATGTTTAATTAATCAAGATTTTGATTTTAGGCCAAATCGCCCAGCCCTTGTTTTTGGTTTTGGAACTTACTAGATATAAATAATACAGTGGCTTTTAGTCAAAATAAAAAGGTAAATAGAAATTGATCTTCTCATTTCATGACCCCTTTAAAACAACAATAGTAACAGTGAAGAATTGTGTGTTGGGAATGTTTGTAGTTGATGTGTGAATGCATTGGGCTTGTACCCTGGCCAGTGCGTCCTCCTGTTCAGTTTTGACCCCAAAACGGGGCAGAGCTGCACTAGTGAGACTGGAACTGTGCGTAAGCTTCTTGACACCACTGATGTGAGACATTGGCTTCTCTCGTTCCCGGAGTGTAGGAGAGGGAATTTCCACCTCATTCTGCTTGTCTGTGACACAAACAATAGCATTTACTTATAATTGCGAGGCTAATTTCACATCAAGTGTTTCACAGCAGTAAATGTACTCCATTATATCCACCTGCAATGAGACTAATGTGCTTTTGCAAATAAAAGCCAGATTGAGATGTACAGAGCAGAGTGTGTGCAGACTCACTCACCTAGGAAGGTAGTGGAGATGTATTCAGACACCTGGTTCCCCGAGCGGCTCATCTCAGACAGATGAGACAGTTCCCTGTTTAACATCCTCTTGAACTATAGATCAGAAAAAGGAAAGACAGAGAGAGATGGAAAGGGAGAGAGTGATTAGTAAACATCAGATTGATTTAATGCAGAAAAGGAAACATTTCAGTCTGTCTTTTGACATATCGTCACCTTAGAATTATAGGTACTATCTGACATTTTTGTCAAAATTGAGTTATTGTCATATTCTTATTAAATGACAACTTATTTACATTATAGGATGTTTTTTTCAAAAAGTTGTTTACATTTTCATTTCATTTCATTTTCTTGTCAGCTTAGTCCCTTTATTAATCCAGGGTCGCCACAGCGGAACAAACCGCCAACTTATCCAGCAAGTTTTTTTTACGCAGCGGATGCCCTTCCAGCCACAACCCATCTCTGGGAAACATCCACACACTACGAACAATTTTTTTTAGCTTACCCAATTCACCTGGGAAAACCGGAGCACCCGGAGGAAACCCACGCGAAGGCAGGAAAAACATGCAAACTCTACACAGAAACACCAACTGAGCTGAGGTTCGAACCAGCGACCCAGCGACCTTCTTGCTGTGAGGCAACAGCACTACCTACTGCGCCACTGCCTCGCCCTTGTTTACACACATACTGTTTGCCATGAAATGCAAAAACTTTGAAGCTCAATATCTCAAAATCATTCTGAATGCAGATATATCTTTACAATTCCAAGGTGACGATATATAATCAAATAAATCGTTGTAAAAGGACAGTTTACACACTTCATCAAGATCTTTGCGTTGCAAACAACACTGAACCCCACAGATTTGAATCGCATAGACAAAAATGCTACACAGATGGAAATGTGTCCTATTCCTTAAAAAAAATGTTATATTATTATTGCGATACTCAAGCAGATAGACATAATACACTTTGAAATTGTTAATTATGTTTCAGAAAATGCCACTGAATGTGATACTTCAAGATTATATAGTAGATATAGATTCTCATTTACACTCATACTTATTTTCGTATGCAGATATTTACATGCAATTAAATTTAACACAATTGTTGTAGCTGTGACATTGGAGTCATGAAATCGTTTTAAATCGACTCTCTAAATCAGCAATACAACATGTCATACCTCTAAAAGGTCAATGGAACAATTTTGATTCAATTGAGTGATATATCCAACATGAACTCACAGCAATTCATAACTTAATGATTTAGTGGCTAATTCATATAAATTCATACGATCTCATTTGTACAATTTAGAACAATTTGCTTATCCCCCTGTGATGGTTAGATTTAGGGATGGGGCTGGGTGCCACAGCTCCTTTTTGAAATTTTACATTTTCTTACAATTGAACTCAAATTCATACGAATTAACAACTAAACTGACAAAAAATCTTTTATTAATTTATTTTTTTTTTCCAGCAGCTGGGGTGCCGAAAAAAAGTTAAATAATGACCATCAAATTACTGACATTTACCGTAACAAAACAGATGGTAAAATACAGAAATTTACTAGAAATTATAATTAAGGAAATTTCTGTAATTTAACGTCCATTATTTTACAGTAAATATCTGTAATTTAACGGACATTTTTTACGGTAAATGTTTGTAATTTAATGGCCGTTTTTTACAGTAAATATCTGTAATTATATGGTCATTATTTTTTTGGTAAATATCTGTAATTTAACGGCCGTTATTTTACGTTTTTCTGACAGAAAAAAAAAAAAGAATAATGGAATTTTTTACAGTGTAGTTATGTTTCCTCATAATATCTGGCTATATATATCAATGAATAAATTGATATATATTGATATATAAAGAAAGAATATATAATGAACTGTTTTCTTTTCAGGTCACACTAATTTCCCTTTAGCAAAGTTTTCTAAATAGCACACGTGCAGATGTTGACAGTACAGAATGTAGACTCTTTTAAATATGTGGAGATTGAAAATAAAGGTTCCTCTTAAAGATAGTTGTGTCGTTATCAAAATTTTAGGCGTCGCAAAAGCACATATCGTTAGTAATTTGCAGAAGAACAATAAATCAACTTATTTGTTTGCCAATTGAGTCTCTTTATTAATTTATGTAAATGTCTCAATTTATATTTATTTAGTTTTTATATTAATTTCAGTCATATTCTTGTATAAAATGCAAATATTTATTTGATTTATTTACAGTGCAGTTTGTAAAGTAATATTTTCTTAATACGTCTTTTAGTAGATATATTATATATTTACTTACTGTTTTCCAGACAAGTGTATCTAATTGGATATGCATTGTAAACTTTTAAACAAAAGTTTAAAAGTTATTATTTTTATTTCATGTTTATTACTATACTCTCATCATTACGCATAAATACAAACATTTTGAGAAGAAATAACAAAAAATATACAGATTCTGTCTGGTCCTGGTCATTTGATCAATGCATCTGTTCATCTCAATTTATCTATTTATTTATCTATCTTTACATCTCTACTGCCTAATTAAAAGATACAATTTGGGATGAGCATTGTCATTGGTTTAACAACAAGAAAGAGAAAGGTTTGTAACAAAATATATGCTTTGGACTATCATTATTTTGTCATTGACAATAATTTGTCATAAAAAGGATTTATAAATGCTATTTATAAAAGATAACTGCAAAGCTTCAGACTGAGTAAATGGTTGCATTTTGTGACCTTTTTTTCTTGCATGCGCTGCTAAATTTTATTATAAGTTGCACTGGTGCCACTAAAAATTTGTCCAATTGAATAGCAAAGGTATTCAGTTGCATATGATAATCATCACCAAATACACCTAAAGCAAAACAAAACAGCACTTCTAGTTTGAACAGCAAGCCACACTGACCTTTTATCAGTTCAGTTCAAAGGAAAAGACAGTGCTCAGAGAGCTAAAGCAAATGTGAACCAATGAAAATACTGTATTATAAAGGCAAATGAAACAGTGCTGTTATTCTCCACAACATCAATGTGGAAAACAGCAGAAATATCATGCAACAACTATTACCTCAGAATAATTTTAAGGGCTTTTACACTAATTATCAGCTATTACCATGGTTTTACCATTGCAATACTAACAGGAAGCATTGGAATAAATGTGGCAAATTCATCTAGAATAATGTTAATTATGAATTAAATCAATTTTTTATTGTAAAATAATTACTTTTTTTATTACTAATGCCTAGTTCACACTTCAAGATTTTAAGCCCCATTTTGCTGATGGATCAGACTGTGATTGGGGGAAATCTGGGGACGCTCAGTGATCTTTATGTGTGAATTACTGAACAACACATCGAGGCTCGATGACTCTTCGCTAACACCTCGCAGACGAAAACCCAACATCTAGCATGCTAAATATTTAGACCAGTTAGCCGACTTGAACCCACGTAAAGTGATGAGCCAATAAGAGAGCACATCATGAGCTAAATGGCCATTGTGTTTAGGAGCTCATCAGAAATGTCTGTGATTGGCAAGAATGGCCTGCGTTTACATGGACACAAGAGCATCTATCTGCTGAATCATGCAGATATACGAGCGATCTCCTCTGACACATCAGCTGATTGACGATGCTTTCAAATGCTCAATGTTTTCTGAGAGATTTTAAACGCTGTGTGTTAGTAGCTATGTTTCCATCCAACTATTTTTATGCACATTTTGGATCTGCACATAAAAAATTGGTTGATAGAAACGCCAAGATGTGCATAAGTTTTGAAAATGTGCATAAAAAATGTAAGCGCATAAATTAGTAGGATAAACTTTTTATTTGATAAGAAAAAATGCGCATAAACTATGATAGAAACACTTTTATCAAACAGTATGTGCATAAAAAAAGATCATGTGATTTTGTTATAAGAGATCATGTGATAATAAAAATATGTGTGAATGGACAAATCAACAGGCTGAGCACATTGTAAAACATCTGAAATGCTATTTTGGTCATTCTAAAATGCCTTAACCGTTTCAGTATTAGTGTTATTGTATTATTAATTATACATCCAGAACTGTCAAAAGCATCTGTGCTCCGAGTCTCGAGTGCATTGCATGTCAGCATTGTCTTCTGAGGTGCAAGCCATTTATTAAATAAAAAAAGACGCAGCTTTTCCTACCACAGCAAATTCCATCTTTACTGTTGATATTTGGCTCCAGTTAATCAGGAAGTTTTGTTCTCTTTGACTCATTGTATGGAAACAGTGCTTTATTGGCATGTCTTTTATGTGATAATCCAGTTGTGCGCTTATATTTAATTCGCATCTTTGGATGGAAACATAGCTACTGATGTCATTATTACACATGCAGCCAATAGTGTTGTGCTCTTTCTGATGGGTCCACCCTCAGCAATTCATTGACTGTGGTTTGGGGACTTGACAGAGCTGTCGGGTGAAAGAGTTTTCAGATCATGTATTGGCATATGCTGGTTTAAGATTATGATGGTATGATAAAAATGGTTAAAAATGGTTCACAGTACCACAGTATTGTGATTACTGCGCTAAAATATGTTCCTTTCCCTCACAACAACTATTATTTATATTTTTTACAAATATATTTTATTAAAAAAAAAACTTTTATAATATTTTGGAACAGTAAACATCAGGCTAAACAGTTCAAATCAGTCATTGACTTCTGCTATCTTTGTTAGTTTCTCAAAAAGGCATCTTTCGATATCTTTCTTTTCGTTGAATATAAAGTTAAGCCACTGCACTGTTCAGGTCTACAGCAAGCTTGGATGTGGGTGTATGAGCGGTTAGTTTTTCAAATGTTTCAAATGTTTCCAGAATTTCTGCTGGAGTGCTGTTAAAAACAAACAATTTTACATAGGCTTAAAAAAAGTGTGTTTTAGTGTGAACACAATAGCGATTTTAAGACACAAAATCAATTCATGTAGTCTGAACGGCACATCGACCTGCTGATGTTTAAAGTTATGGAGTGAAAACTAGGCTTAAGTCATTTTAAGTGAAGTTGTGCATTTGTATTAAGTGTCTTTGTATTTCATACTCTGACAATATAAATCATAAAGTTAGTGAACCATTAAAACATTGAAAAGTTAAGT